TATATGGGTTCCCTTCTAGACACGAGCGCTGTGTGTTTGTATGTGCTTCATAACCGTGCACCCCAGGGGGCCCGTTGTAATAGCCTGCACTGGGGCCCGTCATTACTAAGTTACGCCACTGACTAGGAGGTGTGTGAATTGAGAGGTTCTTGTAACTTAATATGTTTAAAAGAAACACAGCAAAATATTTGTGTGCCATTTAAGATTTTTTGCCTGAAAATGTTTCACAAATTATGTGTAATATAATTAAAGTATTTATGGACTGCGTTCATTTATTTAATATTGTGGCTTTGTTTCAATCTAATGAGCACGATTGAAACTGAATACTTGTACTTGAAATGATACTTTTTATTACTTAAATTTGGTTTAGTACATTTTCGCATGGCATACTCAAAGTTCACTTTTAGAGCTGATGGCATCTATTTCATCATTCAGAATTTTTGGGCAGTGTTGGCTTTTCATGTGTAACATTAATTCAGCCAGTGAAAAAGAAATGCATTGAATGCCCACTTTATGGTTTGAAATACTCTAAATCTAAAAGTGTTCTTACGAACAACACTGCAATCTTTTATCTCCTTCCTAACAGCAATTCATCTGAGGTCTTATCAGGTTGATGGAGTGAGGTGGCTGTCACAGTGTATGAAGAACCAGCAGGGCTGCATCCTTGGTGATGAGATGGGTCTGGGCAAGACCTGCCAGGTTTGTAATTGGATGGGTTTACCTTGCTTATAATGCTTGCTTTTAAGTCAGCGATTTATTCCAAGATGTTAGATATCAGATAACTGAGATGCCATCCTCTGCTGTAGACCATTTCTTTGCTGGCATGTGCTCGAGGATACCTTAAGATGAACGGACCGTTCCTTGTGCCTTGTCCCTTATCTGTTTTGGAGAACTGGAGACAAGAGGTAGAACGGTAAGGGATGCTGGTATACGGTCAGACTTGAGTGGTCAGTTTAGATTACAAAGAAGGCATATTAAAGATAAAGCCTACTGATTTATTACTGTTGCGGGACTGAAAGTACATGCCACTTTATGAATGTGTGAATATTCCAGCATGAACTGATTTTACATGAGACAATGTGTTGTCACTGTCACTAGATGGAGACAGTAGCATATAAACTCAGAATTAGTATCTTCCTTGAATCCAACTTAACATGAAAGATTAGTTAAGGTTCTCTTACTTAATTTTTTTGTTTAGCTTCTGTCCCAGTCTGTCTGTGGTCTGTTACACTGGAGATAAAGAAAGAAGGGCAAAGCTCCAGAAAGAGCTCAAGAATGACCGACACTTTCATGTTCTTCTCGCCACCTATGAGGTTAGTGCACCTGTTTTCAGAGAATAGGTCTGTGATAACTGCATTCAGAGGGTTGCATTCCAAAAATCTTTTTAAATCATATTTAATAGATGTGCCTCAAGGATGCCAGCTACCTGAAAAGGTAATCATCTTAAATTTTTCTTTTTGCTGTTTTGGTAAAGAGATAGATATAGTTTGAAAACGTATATAAATAACAATATTTCCTCAATTCTGCTACTCAGGCTTTTTGCACGTAATTAAACATCAAAATTGGTTATTTGGGTGACATTAAAGTTTTTTTTTTTTTTTACGATATATAGTTTTTGCGGTCATTAACACTCATGTAAAGGTAATCTGTAAAAGCTAATTACTAAATTACTAATAATAGCATTTAGCAAATTGCAAAATTGTACATTATAAATTTTGTTTTTATACCTAAATTCAGCTGTAGTTTTGAGTTTAATTTGTAGTTTTCTGCTTTTCTCTACCTTTGTCTTAATACTGTATAATCATAACATTTTGTCAATAAAGAATAATTTTATAGTTATTAAAAAAAATAATGTTTTATAATTTACACTATAAATTATCTTTTGAAAGTAAAATTCTGCAATAAACATACTTGGCCTTCCTTGGTTTTGCAGGCAACTTTGCTGTCATCTAATCTTTAAGAGCAAAATACTAATAATTTAGTAACTTGAAGCCTTTAAAAGTTTGGTTTTAGTTTGTAGTGTTTTATTATTTTGTTGTTGTTGTTGTTTAGACAAAATAGTGTAGAATTTTAATATCTTTAACATAACATTTATCAGTTATCAGCCATAACATAAAAATAAGTATACGTTTATTGGTGTCTGTGACTGCATATTTCAATTCATATTTAACTTTACCACTCCACTCTCTTTCCACAGTTGGAAATGGAAGATTTTAGTTGTCGATGAGGCTCACCGGCTGAAGAACCAGGAATCATTGCTGCACCAAACCCTCAGAGAGGTTACACCATTGCATTTTCATTGTTTTTACAGTCACTGTCAGTCTGTAAAACCCCTGATAATAAACCTAGCCTTGCTTGTCAATTTTTCAGCTTTCCCCTGCTATTAACTGCCATCTGACATCTGCCTTCTCAGTTTACAGTGGGTTTTCGAGTGCTGTTGACAGGCACCCCCATTCAGAATAACTTGCAAGAAGTTTTTTCTCTCCTCACCTTCATCCAGCCCAGTCTGTTTCTGCCTGAAGCCGTTGAGGACTTTGTTAGTGCCTACGCAGACGTACAGACTGAACCTGCTCTTGGTATGGCAGCACAAACCTTTGTGAAAATCAAACTCAACACTTACGGCTGCTGGTTTCAGCAATTGTTTCAGCAATTAACTGCCATCATTGACTTTAAAGGCTTTGTGGTAAGACAGTCATGCTTTTAAAAGCTCTTTTCTTTAACTGATTTAATGTAATTGCTGTTTGTGGTGAAAATTACAGTGCTGTGACTGCTTATCACAAAAGCACTGATCAAACAGATCTAAGTGAGACAGGAAAATTGGACCGGTTTGGTGCCAAACTGAACACCTCAGATAACACACAAACATGGCAGAGCATAAAAAGGTTTCAGTTTCGCAATGCCAGCCTGGTGTAGATTAGATGCTCTCTCTCCTTGACTCACCTGTTAGATTTGCTTGAGGCTATCAGATGATAGAGATCATAAATTCTCATATTATTTGGACTCGGGTGACCTTGTGTGTGAGTTTGTAACATGGTTGTTCTTGTCTGCAGCCGATGAGCTTCATCGAGTGCTCCAGCCCTTTTTGTTGCGCAGGGTTAAAGCAGAGGTGGCCGCCGAACTGCCCAAGAAGACAGAACTCGTGGTTTTTCATGGGTTGTCTGCCCTTCAGAAGAGATACTATAAAGCCATTCTGATGAGAGACCTTGGTAAGTCTTCCCCAACATGAATCATCTGTTACAACAGTCAAAACTGAATATTTTAGCAAAAGGATGAGTGTTCATTTTAATAATTTCAGATGCCTTTAGGACTGATCAAAACTCTAAGACCCAACTTCTGAACATTTTAATGCAGCTCAGGAAATGTGTGGACCATCCGTATTTGTTTGATGGTAATCACTCTCACTTTTTGTGATTTAAAAAAAATATTTTTTTTTTTCCTATGGTCAGACAAAATAAAAACAACTAACTGTCTTTATTCCGCACCTTTTTCATGTAAGGTGTGGAACCAGAACCGTTTGAGATGGGGGAGCATTTAGTGGAGGCCAGTGGAAAGCTCTCTCTGCTGGACACCATGCTGGCGTATCTTCACGAGGGGTGTGTGCTGCTAACCTAAAGTTTCTTTCCTGTCGCTAGCAAACTGGTATAATATGCTGATTTGGTGATTATTATCAATTATTATTGTTAATTATTATCAATTATTATTAGTAATTGTTCTTATCTTATCTCATCAGTTATCAGTGTTGAAAACATTAATATTTTTGTGGAAATCATGATACGTTTTTGTCAGGAGTCTTTGAATTAAAAAAAAAAAAATCATAAGAACAGCATTTATTTAAAGGGGACCTATTATGCCCCCTTTTTACAATATGTAATATAAGTCTCAGGTGTGCCCAGAATGTGTCTGTGAAGTTTCAGCTCAAAATACCCCACAGATCATCATTTATTTTATCATTTTGAAAATGCCTATTTTGAGTGGAAGCAGAAAGACACTGTTTTCGTGCATCGCCCCAGTCTGGGCTCGGCAAAAGTGCGCATCGAGGGCGCATAACGGCCGCAAAGGGGGTGCCCTTCTGAAAGCTAAAATGAGGAATGGGACACCCTACGGTCTCGTGGACTTAACGGACATGCGCACGCAGTGGCCATTGTGAGTCCTGAAGACCGAAAGTGTACTTGAAGTGTGCCATTTGGGACAGGGCCAAAGTGGCTGTCACACAGCATGTGAGCACTAAACTAAGTTCTCTTTCATGTCTTTCATTGTGCTTAAACTGCCAAATACACACAAGTTTATGTTAAAAAACACACATAAATTACAAAAACACAGTCGGTTATGTCTGTGAAGGTAAACAGCTGGGAAAGAAATCACATGGTTATATTAGATCTGTGTATTAAGTGAAAGCGGCGAAAATCACTCTCTGCTAAACAGTCATGGGCGAGGCCTGTAAAATGTAACGTCACATTGTACAGATTCTGCAAATGGGTTGTTCTGAGACACTGCTTATGATTTATGGAGATTTAAAAAAAGGAGCGGGTGGATCATTATTTCATCATTATAGGATGGTTGTGTACACACACTGCTGACACACATTTATGTTCAAACAACATTTAAAAGTGAATTTTGCATAATAGGTGCCCTTTAAAATTGAAATCTTTTGTAAAATTGTAAATTTCTTTGTCACTTTTGATCAATTTATTTGAATAAAGTATTAATTCCCTTTTTTATTCTTACCCCAAACTTTTGAATGCTAGTGTATCACAGTTTCCACAAAAATATTAATCAGCAAAAATTGTTTTCAACATTGATATTAATAAGAAATGTTTCTTGAGCACCAAACCACCATATTAGAATGATTTCTGAAGTATCACGTGACACTGAAGACTGGAGTAATTTACCTTTACCTTCACAAAAATCAATTCCATTTTAAAATATATTTTAAAAAGTTATATTTTAACAGTTGCAATATTGTTTCATTATTACTGTTTTCACTGTATTTTTAATCAAATAAGTACAGCCTGGTTAATCATAAGAGACTTCTTTCAAAAACTTTAAAAATTTGAATTATTGCAAACTTTTGACCAGTAATGTATAATAAACCTATGCCCATAATAATTATTTATATTGCTGTTGGAACAGATTTCACAGGAAATTGCTTATGTCGTTCCATATATATGTCATGTTATATCCGTATGACACAGATAAAAGTCCATTTGTGAGTAGTTTCACACCGGTGCCTCAAATCACATTTATCCACGCACAGGAACAGAGCCAAAGCACAACCAAAACAATGTTCTTCCCCAAGACACATGCAGTTTTATATGTTAATAGCCAAAAGTTACATAGTGCAGCTTTAAATGTATTTTACTGATTTGGATATATAAAATAGATGTTTTTGTCACTGTTTGCAGGTGCCATCATGTTCTTCTGTTTTCTCAAATGACCAGGATGCTGGATATTCTGCAAGATTACTTGGAGTACAGAGGTACTAAGACACACTTTGACTGTGTCAGACCTTTGCCTTTACTTATTTATTAAACTGTGGTCTCATGATGTGCATGACAGATGACCAACGTGCTTGCTTTTCTGTCTTAATGGAATTGCCGTGGAACAAACAATGGTCTTCTTTATAGTTGTCAATAAAATTCAGGAAGCAGAGTTCTAGATGTCAAAATAAGACTTTATTGAACAAAGCAACAAAGCCGAGATGACAGCCGCCGCATTTGAGTCTTTGTCCGTCCGGGCATCCATACTTATACCTTGTTCTTATCAGTCTTTCTAACCAAAAAATGACAATTCGGCCTCTGATTGGTCTTATTCCACTAGTTTTGCTACTCCTGGTTTACCCTCCCCCTGGATGCAGGTGTCCTCATGGGCCATTCATCATACTTGTTTGTGCCATCCTTGACATATTCTTGGAAGTCACCCAAAGTTCACCGGTTCACTCTAGTTCATTGGCGCTACCCAATGAAAAGCACCGTACTTGCTTATTAGAGAGCACCTAAGACTCACAGTCTATATTAAAACATCTGATATTGAAATAATCATATCATATTGATCAGTCTATTGATTTTTGTGAGTAGTTATACATCATACTTTCAGTAAAATAATACAATACATATATTATGCTTTTTATTATTTTACAAACAAATCAAAATTAACATATATAAAATATATTTTTTGCTGAGATTTGATACAGTAACACAATTTTTGACATCACAACGTCATTTAGCAACAAATCGACTTACCGTTAAAAACTTCCAATGAAAATTAGTTGGCAACACTGACGGTAAACCATGTACTGTACTATAAGAAGTGTGTTTTGTTTTGTTTTTTGGCAGAAGTAAAGACAGAAACTTATACAGTAAATATGAGTATTGTCCTAGTTTTGGTTAGATTATGATCAGTGTTTACTCTAAAATACTGCCTTAACAGAGGTCCATGGCCCACAACAGTTTCTCACAAAGTAACAGGATCAATGCCCCCCCCGTAACACTGATGGTACTCAAAACAATTTCCAAGTTTGGCAGGTCTGCATATGTTTGTTTCTTCTCAATTTGGAACATTTATGTAACTCTACCCTACAAGTTCTCCTAGTAATCTAGTCCTCTGATCTAGAGCACTTGATGTGGGTTCAGTATCACATCCTGTGTTTGTTGCTGCATGAGCGTTAATGTGCTACCGACTATGTAACTGCCAGCTCTGATTGGGCCCTCCTACTTCTCTGCAGGTTACAGTTATGAGCATCTGGATGTTTCAGTCCGAGGACAGGAACGTAACCTAGCTATCAAAAACTTCAGCACCAAAGATATTTTTATATTCCTCCTCAGAACCAAAGCTGGTGAGTTCACAGTCTAGGAAAGCCAATCTAAGATTCACACCATCACACTCTATAATCAACTGCAGTGCAAATCTTTTTTATTTTCTTTTTTAAATAGTTACTGTATTATTAGAGAATTATATCTGAATACCATTCCAGGTTGCAAAATTGTCCTCATGTGTCTGATGCAAATCTTATCTGCATCTTTTAAACAGACACATGTAACTGAAAACTGAAAGTTGTGATGAGAATGCATAAATATTGAGGCCATGCATTACCACTGTGTCTCTGTATGAGATGGTGGTGCAAAAATTGTGATGTAGAGATAGAGATTCAGTTCATCTTATTATACCATTTTTTCTTCTCTGTTCAGATTACAATTACAGCCTTACTTTCAATGTAACATTTTATTTTTCCATTGACGTTTCCTTTTTTTTTTTTTTTTTTTTTTTTTCTTTTTTTTTTTTTTACTTTTTCTTTTTTTTTTTTTTTTTTTTTTACCTGTATTTTTGATCAAATAAATGCAGCCTTGGTGAGCTTAAGAGACTTCTTTCAAAATCTTTCTATACCCAAACTTTTTTGTATTTTTAGGAGGGGTTGGTATGAACCTAACAGCAGCAGATACTGTGATATTTGTGAACAGTGATTTCAACCCACAGAATGACCTACAAGCTGCAGCCAGAGCCCACAGGATTGGCCAAACAAGGTATTCCACTGGCAAAATGCATATTTTAGGTTGTTCCATCACCATATACTTTCATTGTATGGCACAGAGCAGCATTAACATGCATTAAATGTCCCCATTAAAGACACTCTGCAAGACTATGTAGATAAATTCTCTTTTTGCTTGCAGGCCTGTTAAAGTTATCCGGTTCCTCGGTAGAGATACTGTTGAAGAGATCATCTATTCCCGTGCTGTGTCTAAACTATGTCTCACAGACACAGTGATTGAGGAGGGACGTTTTTCTCTGCTGGACCAGGCTCAATCTGCAGCTTCTGGTCTTCAGGTGGAGAGAGTCACATGTCCTTATCTCTTAAGCTCATCACATTGTGACTTTGCCCTGTTTCCTGGTTCATATTTTTGTCGGTGTACTTGTGGTTTCCCTTCTTGTGAAACTGCACATAATTCTCAGTATTCTGTAATTTACGTCCCCACCAATCTAGTTGAGTGAGATCCTGAAGTTTGGTGTGGATAAGCTGCTGTCATCAGAGGAGAGCTCCATTCAAGACGTGGACCTCAGGCTGATCCTGGGGCAGTCTCGAGATGGCCGATGGCTAACAGATGAAGAGCATGTGAAGCTTAATGAGAGCGATGAAGAGGAAGATGAGGACATGCAGGGTCAAAGTACAACACTTAGCTTCTTTTCAGTAATCTTGTTATAACTGGCACTTGAAAATTAAATGATCCGTTAATGTCTTTTCTGACTTCCAGACCACATGTACTACTTCGAGGGTAAGGACTACTCTAAAGACCCCAGTGCTGAGGATGAGAAGGCCTTTGAACTGTTACTTGAGAAGCAGTTAGCTGAACTAGAGGATGCTGGGAAGGAGGGCCGCGCACTTCGTAATAAAGCTGGGGTAACTTATTTTAAAGGCTACACTACCATTCAAAAATTTTGCGTTATATATGTTTATGTATTTTGACTTGTTTCAAAAACATTAACAGAATCTTACCAACCCCAAATCTTTGAATAGTGGTGTATAATGCAAATTAAATTGTTTCGATTGTTAGTTGGGAAATATTTAGATTGCTGTCATTCTTTTTCTCTCATGATAGATAATAATTAATGTTTTTATCTTTCTTTTTATTTATTGCATTTATTTATCTACTTATTTTTTTAACTAAAACAAACAAAAAACAAAATTAAAAGATTGTCACTGCCCATCAGGTGTCCCTGTCTGGGCCCTTGATCGACCCAGGGAGGAAGAAGAGACCTCTTACAGAATCAGAGTTGGAACAAAGACGTCAAAAGAGACAAGAAGCTGCTGCAAAGAGGGCAAAGCTACAGGAGGAAAGAAAAAAGCAACAGGAAGAACTAAATTACAAGAAGAAGTAAAAAAAAATCTTTCTGGCATTCTGTTGCATCTATTGTATGTTCTTGTGGATGTCTATTTTATAGCCTTGTGTGTATGTGTATCGTTCAATGACAGGATGGTAAGATGGGAATCATGTGGCTACAAATCGCTGTGCTTGCCACGAGTTGACAGTGAGGGTGAGGATATGGAGCCTGATGAAGATGATGATGTCAGCTGGAGCTCCACAGATTCGGATCACACAGCCATTCGCTATGTGCTGGGTGATGTAACTCACCCTCAGGCTGATCGAGGGGATGCCACCATTGTGCACTGTGTTGGTACGTCTTAAAAATTCTGTTAAAAACAACGGTGTGGCAGAGTTCGCCTGTAACAGACATGTCTCGCTGTCAGAAGGCCACTTATTCTGCACAACATGTTAACAGATATGGGGCCTTTTTATAACAATCTCAGCTTTATGCTAATTTGGCATGATGTGTTGTGTATGTGTGTATTTGGTGTAGATGACTCTGGATACTGGGGCCGAGGAGGATTGTTTACCGCACTGGAGCTCAGATCAGATGAGCCGAAGAAGCAGTACGAGTTGGCTGGCGTCATGGAAGGTAACAAACCTTTCCTGTTTGCTGAGACGGGTCTAACTCATGCTGTCAAAACAAATATTCCACACTAAAATCAATATCCAGTTCACAGCTCATTATGTTGCATGCAAGCTAATTGTTCATAAAACTTATAGCTTTGATTTAATACCCATTAATGTGAAGTTTAAGAGTTGGGGATTTTGCAAAGTTTGTGGTATCCAAGCTATAAAGCTAGTATTTACATTTGAGGTAGAACAGCTTACTGTAAACCAAAACGCCTCTCACATAATAATGAACAATGCTGATTTGTAGTTCTGCTCTAAACTAGGGTGATTATAGACATTTATGATCTTTTGTTTTATTGCAAAATTAATTTTCTGTGGTTATTAAAATTCTGGCAAATACAGATAAACCGATAACAGTTTTCATGTTATTAGCAGATTGTAGCACAATTCTGTACTATATTGTCTAAATATATTACTAACTTAAACACTAAATTTTAGTGTTCAAAAGAAATACCAAGTTCTGTCATGAAACTCTAGATGGCGCAGGCTGATGGGTCCTTAATGCAAACTGATGATATTCATTGAGTTAAACTACTTGGCACAAGCTGATTTGGTCATGTTGCATACGCAGCCAATGAGCTTGCTGCTTTACATTTAAATGGTTGGTTAGCATTCACTAGAGCATTTCGCAGAGTGCTTTCAGATTTCCTCTGAAACCCTCCACCTTCCCCAGCTCCACCTGTATAGATCTGCTTTGGGTTATTTTATAAGCCATTTGTCCAACAGCAGTATGTCTTACTCACAGCACTGTATCGGCGTATGTATTGGCAGTAGCAAGTTCCTGTACTTGCTTTGCAGCAGCAATCTACAACAACATAACCAACAGCAGAAGCAATTCAGCAGCAGTGTAGCAGATCTATTCCACCAAGACCAAATACATTAACATTGTCATATCCATAACATACTAAAATCTTCTGAGGGTTGTCATAACAGGACAGCATTTATTTGAAATAGAAATCTTTTGTAACATTATCAGTGTATTTATAGTCAATTTTGATCAATTTAACGCGTCCTTGCTGAATAGAAGTATTAAAAAAATACATTCTTAATCACCCCAAACTTTTAAATGCTTTAAGTGATAATTGTGTGTTGCAGACTTAGAACTGGGGAATGTTCTGCTTTTTCCTATTGATGACAAACAGTCCAGGCTCAGTGGAAGAGACTATGTAAGTCGGCAAGCTGTTTATATTTTTACTTTACTGCTGTTAATTATTTTTAATCATTAATTTATTTAATCATTTTTTGCCTCCTGTTTCTCTAGCTGGCACTGATAGTTGCTCAGCAGAGGGATAAAGCCAACAATTTGTCAGGCATTCGGCTCACTACCTTGGATGAGGGCCTCAAGAAGATCTACAGAGATGCCAAACAAAAGAAGGGTACTCTGCGCTCATTTGTGAAACTAGTTGGTTGCAATGACGTGACTTCCTCTATTCACCTTTTAAACAAATGACTTGGGTTGAAAATCTATTACAGTTTGTATAGAAAAGAATCCCCCCCCCCCCCTTAAAATAATCACATTTTGTTGCTTTGCAGCCTGAAATGAAGATGGACACAGTTTTTGTTTCATTCAGCTGTATTTACTGTATTTAGTGTAACTTATAACATCCAAGTGAAAGTTATAACTCCAACATGTCAGGGGAAAAAAGAGAAAAAAACAGAATCACTGAGTTGGAAAAAGGTTCACCCCCTCCTAAAAATGCCTTGTAAACTCAATCAGTTGTAGCTAATCACCTTCTCAATGGCACACAAAGGCATTTGACTTTCAGCTGTGGTCTTTTTGATCAGCTCAGCATGAAAAGAGCTTTCCTGGAGCATTTCAGTCCTTGGTAGTGCAACTGAAGTAAACAGTCAACTATGGGTGGCAAGGCACTGTCAAAAGATCTCCAGGATAAAGTTGTGGACAGGCACAAGTCAGGAGATGGATACAAAAAAATGTCAAAGGCTTTATCAATGCCTAGAAGCACAGTGAAGTCTATTATTGAGAAGTGGAAGGTATTTGGTAAAAACAATCCTCAAGAAAGACCACATGCAGTCACGACTGAGCTTTGCCAAAATGCACCTTGAAGATTTTGAGGCAGATGAGACTAAAATTGAATTATTTGGCCTCAACACCAAACACCTGTCGGAAATCCAATACAGCTCACCATCCAAATAACACCATTCCTACAGTAAAGCATGGAGGTGGTAATATCCTGTTGCAGGGACTGGAGCACTTGTCAGGATTGAAGGAAAAATGGATGAGGAAAAATACTGTCAAATTCTTGAGGAAAATCTGCTGCCCTCTGCCAGAAAGTCAATGAGAAGAAGGTTTGCCTTCCAACATGACAATGACACAGTAAACAGTACACAGCACACAGTAAAACTGACCACACAGTGGTTGAAGGAGAAAAAGGTGAATGTCCCTGCATGGCCTAGTCAGAGCCCAGACTTAAACCCCATTGAAAATCTGTGGAATGATTTGAAGACTGCAGTCCACAAACTTTCTCAATCAAATTTAATTGAACTTGAGCAGTTCTGCAAAGAGTGGGCAAATATTGCAAAGTCTAGATGTGCAAAGTTAGTAGA